TATGCTCATAATCATACAACACAGAAGTGGAACTCGACATAAAAAAAAATAAGATGAAGACTCACAAGCCTTGAAACATCCAGACACCTGGTTTATTTTACAGAAGTGCTACATGCCTACAAAGTATCCAACAAATACCCCAATGCCCAGGACTGGGGAGAACACTTAATCCCTGCTTAATCCCTTTTACAATTCACAAGGGGAAGATTTTCACTTTGAAAATTATCTACCTGACCCTTCCTTGGGTAAACGTAGAGGTGGTTGGTAACAATTCAGAATTCTCCTTCTTCACAGTCTAATGGATTTCTAGCCCAAGTTCTTCCCAGTGACTCAAGTGAAATCTATTTTATTTTGCTTCAGTGTATTTATTATGGTATATATATTTTTAGGATTCTACCCTGTTATTAAAAAGTTCTTCCCAGTGACTCAAGTGAAATCTATTTTATTTTGCTTCAGTGTATTTATTATGGTATATATATTTTTAGGGTTCTACCCTGTTATTAAAAAGCCATCACTGTATCTCAGAAAATCTGAGGTCTAATAGTTCTGTAGAATTCCAAATGCATTTAAAATTGTCCCATTAACCTCTGAACTGTTATTAGAATAACATGAGCCCAGAACTTCCTTTCTAAATATTTTTTTCCACGATAAAGGGAAACAAATTCAAGTTACGTTCCATAAAAATGAACAATACAAGCTGGTAAAAGCGCTTCTCTGCTACAGTACTATCAGCTACTATAAAATGGCTTGATTGGCCTGTGTGGCAAAAGGGAAGTGGAATGATGGGAGGCAGCCTATTTCAATTCAAAACCAGTAAAGCATTTCGGAAAATATCTGATTAATTTAAAATGCAGCAGGGAGATTAAAACCCCATCTCCACAGGCTGATATTAACTCTACATCGCTTCAAGGAAGCGAGCTCCCTTTATTCTACCATCAATTGCTTGGGGACAAAATATCAACACGGGGAGAGTTATGGATCTCGATGTAGCAACAAAGGGAATTGATTTTCAGAGCGGCTCTCCCCACGGGGGGTAAAGGACAAAATAATGAATGGTTTTAGCTACTAACGTGTCAGCTGCTGAATAATGGTTGTCAACCAATGCAGCTACAAGATACTCCGAGGGGTTTGCCTTCAGCCGGTCCCTTTAATTTAGATTGCTAGACTTAAGAGATTTCTAACCTGATTGCTGCGTACAACGCCTTTCCCCACCACCACCACAACCTGCTCCAGACCCTTTGTACGCTTGCTGAATGCTCGTCGTCTTCTCTTTGGGCTGACCTGCCTGCAAGACAGACTCTTAAATCCCAACCTCTCGGGCTCTCGCAACCTAAAAGCCACATGACGGATCAGCCCTGACAGCAGCTAATTCAAGAGCAAATTCTGCCTCTAAACTCGAAGTTATTCTTGTTTAAGAGCCCTAAAATCAGGTTGTTAAACAGTGGTTCTAGGTTTCCATTTTTTCTCGTCTCATGGACAGGATCAAAGGCGCATCCACGGGAGGAAAGCAATGCAACAGCGAGGGGAAGCCGCGCGACTCTCAGGTTGCACGGTCCAACAGCGGATTCTCATCTGCATCACAGGTCAGACTGAAAACGCGGTCTTCTGGTGTTCCATCTGGTTAAGCAACAAAACTCACATCTGTATTTTGTCATTCAAATCAGTTTTTGCAAATTTGAGATCACATTCTCAGAAACATAAGTTTAATACCTCACTCCTACCCAGTACAAACACAGGCCAGCTGTTACAGTCTGAATCCAGGCACTGTGACGATTAAAGTGAGGACTTCAGCGACGACTTGGTCATACTCTACCACATTTGTGTACGACGACTTTGTTTAGTTATTGCAGTACATGCTCTATTCGGGCACAAGTTTTATCCACACCAAACCGTTCACAGGAGAGGGGCCTACGCTATTACACCATATGGTCTCTGTATTTCACAGACCTGCTTGCACTAATGTTGGTTTCAGTCTCTCTCTTGCACCCTACTTGAAAATACAATGCAAATGTAAAAAGGCAAATTGCTGCAACAGAAAGTTACTGTGCAATGTTTAAAAATGTCAGTTTAAAATAAGTTTAGCAGCACTCTTCTGTTCAAAGAGAATTGATGTAGATTTGCCTGGCTCCTTAAAGTTCACCATAATTCTCCTCAGCCAAACTAAAATAGGATGAGAGACTTCCTTAAGATGTTCTAGAAAAATCTTATTTAAAAAAAAAACCCTCTCATGGGAAAAAGATGCTATTCTTTCACGCCAATCTCCACAAAAGCATATACAACATCACTTTCGTTCTTTCCCCTCCTCTCTTACGTGCCCCCAGCATCACACCCACACACAGAGGACACTGTTATATCACTCCCTATTACAAATCTTTTTGCTGCCCTCATTTCCTAGAGATTAACGATCAGGCAGCTCAAATCAGCTTTTGCCCACTGCGCTGAAGGCAACACAGTCAAATGTTAAATGGCAAAGCACAAAGGCTTCCAAAGCATTTCATTTAAGAACTACCCGAGGTGTGCCAGGTACTGGAGATGCCTCAATTTACTTTAAGAGACACGAAACAGAATTACAAAAGTCACAGGCTAGATTGGTTTTTCTCTTCACCATAGTTAATTTTGAGTCAAGGGTCATATCAGTATAAAAGGGAGATCCAGAGCCATGAATAACTGGATTTCATTTACTACTTTCTCCCCCCTGGCATGCAGCTGCGCGAACGCCAACGCCAAATGAAGGAGGTGGAAGGAACATTGGCTGGTAATGGAGACAGACCAATTCTTTTGCCCAGCCTCGGACTTGCAGCCTTCAAACCTGAAGGAGCGTTGGTGGCCCTCTCTAAAGAAGCATCCAGCTCCGTTTCAGGGCTGTTAATGCAAAATGCTGCTGAGTAGGAGAGACAGCTCCTCCTCGGCAGCCAGGAACAAGCAGCCCTTTATCAAACAGCAGGGGGGATCTGGAGAAGCAGTCCCATTAAGGAAGTTGCAAGCGCCACAGTTCATTCTCCCAAACAATCAATATTAAATTGTGCACACTTAAAAGCAGGAAGGCACTTGACGGACAGCTTAACAAGCAAGCTGACACAGGCACGACAGCTTCTATCCAGCACACCTCCTTGGCTTGTTTGTAAGGTTGATGGGCCCATCTTTCTTTCTCAGCTATTCTGTTCGCTCATGAATTATGCAGAGTTGATTTAATAGACC